GTGTGTGTGTGTGTGTGTGTGTGTGTGTGTGTGTGTGTGTGTGTGTGTGTGTGTGTGTGTTACAGAGTGCAATTAATGGCATGTGACGTGCAGTGTGTGGGAGCGAGTTTCAAACACACACATCGCACAAAGGAGAATGACACACACCCACACACACATGTGAATACTCACAGCTGCATGACGAGGTAGAGGTGTGATTTGCTTTCGAATATTTCCTCCAGAGAAACAATGTTGGCGTGTTTGATCCTGCGAAGGAGAAGAGATGAGAAATAAGGAAAGGCATTTCAGTCATTTTATTTAGCAATTAGTATTTGAAAGATTTCTTAGGTAGGGTTCAGTAAATGTAGGTCTCAGGCACATAGGTAACAGCAGTCACATGTAAGGAGGAGACACTGTGTGGTGGCATTCAGCTTCCTAATTGGCTGAACTCGGTGGTCCGCTGCCCTCAAGAACCATGGGTAGTGTGACAGGGGTGGAGAGATGACTCACCACATGGAGATTGGTATGATAACTGTGTGTTTAATACCTGTATTACACTCAGTAACCACTTTATTAGCAACACCTGTACAATGTAGTCCTATAAAACAGCTCTGCCATGAATTCAGAATTTTTTAAAAATTGAGCACAATTTATGGCTTTGTGACTCAAACATGTTTCAATGTAGTATGTTTAATAAACTGGGTCAGAGAGCGGAGATGTTCACCCTTTGTTATGTAATAATATATACATTTTCGATATTAAAGAATTTGTACATTTTCAAGTGTTTTGGACTTAGAGGGGCAGTGGTGCATATTGAGAAATTATTAATGTTAGTTATCATATTGCTTTGTTATCATACAATAATTCAGGTAATATATCGGCATGAAATATATCAAATAATACTCAGCCCTGGATACATTTGTATGTGTGTGTTTTATCATGTAATTCAGAACTTTAATAACGTAAAAATTAAAAGTGCTAGGTCTAACAATCAGGGAAGATGCATTTTCATTCCTATAAAAACACATTCAAATTATTCTTTTTAAAATATTTTGTTATAATAATTTAAAGGGGGTTACCCATTCATTAAATTAACGTCAGTATCTGGAATATGACTGGGTGCTTGAGGGTTATTGAGTTGACTTGGTAAGAGGACAAAGACAACACAAAGCCATGTGCCGCCCTGTATATAACACTGTATCAGTCAGCATGAGCTCATACTGGATTACGGCAATGACTCTTATCCAGATTGTAACAATACATGGACACCTTCGTTCACCCGCTTAGCTCTAAGTGGAGGCAGAGATGGACCCAGAGAAGGATTGAACCTGCCTAGTGAGCACACACGTGTAAAGTGTCTGAGCTCAAGCGTGCACTCTAGCACATAATTACTTTATTAATATAAGTAGTATAGGTGCATTTCATTTGGATTTCTGTGCAGGTGGGTTTGTGGTGGATACTGGCAATGGTATTTGTCTAGGTACTGACCTGTCTATTAAGGGTTGGTAAACTATCTGAACATAAGTCAACAACAGAGTTACCATCTGAGTAAAGATCTGATTATTCTTTATCCAGAATGTGTTGCTTAATAATTAGGAAGTGTATTGATTTATATGACGAAGCTTTAGGAGTCGCGTTTTTCTAGTTGTATTATATATTTTATTAGTCTTTTCTCAAAACTCTTTCTGTTTTCAGCTCAGTGTGTTTGTCTGTTAGTTTGTCAGCAATAGGGAAATACTACTGGCCTGATTTTCATGACACTTGGTGGAAGGTGTTGCGTGGCACAATGACAAATTAATTACATTTGAAATGGTTCTGAATGATGGGAACGATTTACACATCCACGTTTTAGATGCAGATTTTCAATAAAGCCATGTTATTTTAAAAGTGTTAAAAAGTACTTTCAGAGCATTCACAGCAACTTCGCACAGACTCCTCTAATTGGCACAGCTACAGATGGCTAAGCATGCTGCGATTACTCACTGTATTTTACATGTCTGTGTTTGAGTAAATATTTAGTCTAAAAATGGGAAGAGGATGAACAGCAAGCTTACCAATGATATCATATGGCTACATTAGCGGTATATCAAACTACCATCAGATTGATCAAACATTTAACAAACAGCACCGGAACACCTAACCCAACACAAGAGGGGCCATTGCACTAAGAAATTATCATAAATTCATTTTCTAATCGAAACATTGTCACAAGTGCTTTCCACAGGTACTGTTGAATAAACACAGATAAAGTAAAGTGAGAGAAATTTCAAGAGTCTTAAAACGAAAATGACGACAGGTTTGGCTGATCCCTAAGAGAATTAGAAGAGGAGATCACATGGCCAGTTTAATGTTCTGCAACCCTTTCAGTCTAAGCATGTTTATAAGTGAAATACATGTTTGTGTGCCCATTATCTGCTATAGTAAAAGACAAACAAACAAGGTTTATTTCAATGTCAACCTGGATGGTTATGGGGAGGGATAAGAACACATTAGAAATGAATTTCAATAGATCAGATTATTTTGATTTAATGTTTACAAATACTCAGGTACATGATAAATGCTAGTGTTATCAGTACTTGGACTGATTGTTAGCTGTTGTATTGAATCAACTTGCTGTTATTACACCTTTAAGATGACTGAATATTCTCAATGGGAGGATTTCAAGACCTCACAAACTAAGGGAAACGTTAAGAGGATGTTTGCTTATAATTAGCAGTATTCATAGTATTAGTAACTTACTCTTAAACGACAGATAGGAGCTGTGAGTGAGTCTAAACAGTAATGTTCAGACCCTGAAACAGCTTTTACGGTCTGAGCATCACAATGATCTGAAGGACTGCAGAGCTGAAGGGGACTGATACATCTCTGTGGGTTCATCACTATGAGTCATGCTCTTCACAGTACATGTAGTCATTTGATCCATTGTTAATATAAAAACATTGATTGAAGCAGCTTCAATATAATACTCCTCAGTTGGATCGTGCCTGTGCTCTGAGTACCGAGGGGGAGTTGAGGATGACGCGTAGAAATGAGTAATGAAGTCTTTGAATGAGTCCACACAAACTTCAGACAAAGCAATCCAACCACGATTTTCGGGCCAACTTCACCTCAGTTTACTCCATTTGTCAAAAATAATAACTGCTAACTAACCCCCACCACTCTCATTCCTCCAGCCTCACCTCGGGAGGGATCATAGCGGCATATTGGCGAGAGTTGTGTCTCCTGTAACCCAGGCAACAAGAGCTCTAAAAATAACTTGGGACTCGATGTAGATCAGCCATTTTCACCGCGGCCTGTAATTCCCCGCATCTGAGGAGAATTGCGTCTGAAACGCTCCACGATTACAAGGAGTGTTATCGTCACTTCCCTTTGTCTTTATATGATAAAACAGTGAATCTCTTGAGAGAGAACGTGAGCACGAGCTCGGTGAGGAGGAATCATGTGAGGTAGTTTTTGAAGGTGTGAACGCACCTAAGCATAGCGTTTTACAAAAACACTTATTTTGCAACACTGAGTAGAAACGCTGCTTTTCTGTGTGAGGATCATAAAACAATAGGACTGTCATCGTCACGTAGATCATTCTAAATCATTTGACTGTTTTGTTATCACTCATCTTAAGAACAAGAAAAACTTGGTACATTTGGGCAGAAACTGCTTGTCGGGTTTATCAACAGGGCATGTTTAAACAGGTTTTACAGAAACTTTTTCTGGTTCCAATGAAAACTGTACTCTACTTTTTTTCCAGATTAACCGGGTGATTGCTTCCTGAAATACAAGCTGTTGTTGATTTTCTCATTGGATGACTCGATCCTAATTAGAGTTTTCGTTCAGTAACTGGACTTTCATGTACTGAATATTTGGATGAATAATGTGGATCCAAGTCTTACAGTGATCAAGTGAAAAGTAGATTAAAGGTGACCTATTATACAAAATGCACTTTTGTACGTCTTTTATACATGAATATGTGTCCCCGGTGTTCCAGGGAACTCACCAAGTGTCAGAAAACAGTAACACAACCCTCTCTATTTCCCTCCATACCCAAATCTCTTAAAAAGGGGCTGCAACGGATCTGATACAGACTGATCCAGATTTGAACACGTCTATGACGTCACAGAAGTGGCGCTACGACTATTGGGCCAACTCCACCTATCAGGAGGAGACAGCCACGGACATTGCCGTTCGAAAGCGCTGGAGACGCTGTAGTACATATGCCAGGCCTGTAGATGGTGCTGTTCTCACAGAATCAGCCCATGCAAAGACAGTGTTAAATTGAGCGAAATGAGGAATGGCTAAAATGCATGATCTTTTTGGTATTTTGAAAAATAAAAAGTATAAATATGCCTTATATAGGTATGGTCCTACACTATATTATTCAAATATAGCATGATAGGTCCACTTTAAGTTCAATATGATGCATATACATTATATATATGTCAAAGCATATGATATCTAGTAATGTGATACAACTTAATGGAGATACAGAGATGAATAATGTACCATCATGAGGCTTGTGGCTAGAATTTCAGATGCAAGGTTATGTCCAACATTTTATTTTAGAAGTGCAAGTCTATGTTAAAACAATATAATACAAATGAACCTAAAAATAACATTATACTTCAGGTTAGGACTAAATTGAGGGTCAGTTGAAGTCTGCTTACTTGTGCAGGACTGCGATCTCATTCTCAATGCTGTTTTCCTTTCCCTCCAAAGCCTTCTTGGGGATGCACTTGATCGCCACCAATTTCTGGGTCCTCTTCTCCTCAGCCAGGACCACCTCGGAGAAAGCTCCTCTGAAACACAAACACACAGGTCAGTCCATCAGCCCTCAGTCCATTCATCTCCCTGTGTTTAGGCAGACCTATTCACATGCTTCTGTGACATTGTGGACAAAAAAAGGGGGAAACTCCTGCTTTGATGTAAATTGGTCTAAAAGCTTGTGATAACTTGGCCCGTTCCATCCAAGTGCTTGTAGAAATTGCTGATGAAAGATTGCGTTTATTTTTAACTTCAGTCTGCTGTTGAAGTCTTTGGGTTCCTGATGAGTCAAGTTTTGGAAAGGAGACAACTTGGTGGGATGATTTCGAAGCACCAATTACAAACGCTTATGAAAATGATACATTTCAAGATTTGGTCTAAAAAAGTCAAAAGTAAGAAATTTTCATCACAGTTTTTTTAAATCCCCTATATATATTATATTGTCAGTCCTAAACTCAAAGATGTTCAGTTTGATATATAACAGTGAAGAGCAGGTAAAGGTCCATCTTTTTTGACATTTTTATATGAAAAATGACTCACTTCATAAAAGTTAGCGATAATTGTTTTTACCATTCGATTCAGCTCTAATAGAAAGAGGTCACTTTCTTTCATTTATGTCAACATCATTCACTGACATTACAAATAATAATAACACTGAAATATTGGCCAGCTTAGTTTGGTACTCTAGACAAAGGTATGTGTATCATAATTGACATTTTTAAGTATTGCATTTTGACACCTATTCAACCATCTAGAATTATATCTCTTATATGTGTACAGACAACACTGCTCAAAAGTTTTACGTTAGGTTGTGACATGCTGAAGTATCCACAGCGTCGCAGTCTGCCCTGACGCCTTGTACTATAAACAACCACATTTCTTTTTCTCTAATTGTCTCCCTGCCAACTGAAATCAACAATGGAAAACAAGTAAAGCAGCAGAACTGAAACTACGAGATTCTATTTTCGCCTTTTCCCATGACCCATTTAAGAGTAGAGGCAGATGTTTTTTCTAACCACGAGCGTTTTGGCTGAGGTCCAGAGATGTATTGACTCAGATCCAAAACTCTACAATAACATTGTGGAATCCTGACCCACAATTGTGAATTTCCACTGAACCTTAAACAAACAGATTTGAACAAAAACTATTATTTATGACACATTGTACAGGCATGACAGCAAACACAAACACTGATCCAAACAAGTGGGAGCAAAGTTTGAAAACAATGCTGCTGTTACAGGTAAAGCTGGATAAGGACCAACATGACTTATTGTCACTTTGGGTTTCATATTGTCTCATGTTTGTGTGTGACAAAGACATTTCAATAACACACAATCACTTTGAATTGTCATGTCTTGTGATGACTTCTTATTATGGCTGCGAGCCTGTGACTAACAATTATTTTCCTCTTTGGTCAATCTGCCAATTCATTGACTAATTGTATGGTCAATACAAGTCAGAAAGTAATAATACAAATGTTAAAAGTATTTGTATATATGTATATATAGCGAGAGAGAATTTCAGTAGGAATTCCAGTAATCAGCCCCAATGCAAAACATCTGTTAAAACATTATGATCTCTTCACCTCATGTGGGATTGTAGAGATGGGAAAGTATGAGATTCTCGGGTAAAACTCAAGACATTGCAGAGTTAGCTAGGTCAAATGTCAAAGTTTAACACACTCCCAGTTAGCATTGTGCTAAGTCTGCTGCACTGTGTCGATACATTTAAAAAGTTGAGGTCTCGTTACATCCCTGGCTGTGACTGTCACAAAATGTACAAACTAACCGCAGGAGGTAAACACTCTTTGTGTTTCACAGCTCAGAAGATGGCAGGAGTGTCAGGCAGTAACAAAGACCATTCAAACCTCATGGGAAGAGCGCATCATTTCTGGATGAAAAGTGGTTGTATTTCTACAGGGAAGTTTGCGTATCAGATCTTACTCATACTTCTTCTTATGTTTTGCTACCACGCAACTCATGGTGAAGACATGCATGTTCGTTTTGGAACAGGCTATTATCTAATCATTTTACTAGCAGTGTTGCCAAAAAGAATTGGCAGCATCAGCATCTATAAACATGTCTTTTAATTTAAAGTCGGATTTTTTGCACTGCAGCTAGGAATCAGACAATGCAATAACATCCCTTCAAGTTAAGTAATGTAAACACATACTGTATATATATGTGTTTGTTTGGCTGTCTCTACAGTATCTCCTTGGCCACATATAGCTGTATGTGTGGGCAGAGAGGAACCACAATCATCCAGTCACTAGGCGTGTAGATACTTTATCAGCTTACCGGAACAAACAAGGAAGACTGTGTGTCTCCTCCATGCCACCGTGACCAGAAATGAAAGTTCATGACCTGCAGTCCACAACATCTCTATTAATCATTCTGTAAATGCATTTTCAAAATGAACAGCAATAAAGAACCTCCTCTTTTTCCAAAATGTGTCAGAAACATTTCGGTGTACTCTAATGCTTATTGATTTACTTTTCCTCCTAACTCTTAACGAGTGTGTTGCCCAGCTCTGAAATGGAAAAATGTCTCTTCTCCTCAGGCAGACAAACTGGGAGCTTTAACAGGAAAATCAGTGAGTGTTTTCTGAAAGCGCACCAAGCATGAACTCTCTGACTTATAAATGTTTATATATAGCTGCAGTATTTACATTGGCTTCCTATCCAAAAACCTACGGTGGATTTGGTGACTCCATTTTAAAAGGCTCATACATACCAACTTAATTTGTACATTTTACACCATTGAATCATTATGGGAGTCCCGAAGTTTGCTACTGCAGATGAATGGGTTTCATTTGGAAAAGCAGCAACAATTTTCAAGAATTGAGATGTGTCAGTCTTTAAAATGTCTTCTGACCCTGGATATCAAGAGATCTCCCAAAGGATCCCACCCCCAATATTTTGAAACTCAAGACAACTGTAAATCGTGACATAGAAAAGCACATACTCAGAAAGATAGATATAGCAAAGGTGCACTACTTAAAAAGTAGTAACTACTAGTATTTAACTTACTACTACTCGTTAATAGGATTGATTTCACAGTTTATATTTAACCACTGGTTCCTTTATCAATCGTTATCCAGAGTAACCCACATACAAATTTGCTGGTGTTATTCACCTCAAAAGCTCAAAGCTAAAAAACACAGAACCCATTTACTGATCAAAGTAACAATTATCCTGGGAGTGAGGCCTTGTGGTCACATCTCAACAAGAAAGTTAAACTGTCACAGAAAGGCCATTAGCTTTGGCAGAGATCCAGCTGTGTGGAGGAGGTTGTCAGTGCTGCAAATTCCTCTAAAGCATCTGGAGGATTTAGCTGACATTCTCCATGCTCCTACTGAGGGTCTCTGGGGAAGTGTCAAACAGTGGTTCACACAAACATTGGGAAAAACTGAGAACCCTAATGTGTCTTTGGAATATAGATAGTACCATTGTTTGTTTGGTTGTTTGCAAGCAAACCTCAATGGTAGCAACATATAGTTGCTTTGTGATGGCACATTGCAACATGTTTCCCCTTTTAATAATTCCCCAAATGAAGTGAAACCACATGTCTGGATCAGATCAGCTGCAGACTAACTCTGTTTGTCAGAAACAGAAGTCTTTAACCCCCAACTTCCTGTAGCAAAATGGCCCTGCACATACTTTTCATGTTGTTTTTGTATTTCATCGGATAAAAAACAATTGAGATCAAATCTTTTTTTAAATGGTGACCATGAATCAGGCAGCAAAGTTACATTTTAACTATGCGTCCAATTCCTACATTGGCCTCCAACTAAATAAAAACAATACATTACAATAATAAAGAGTCTAATATACTTCCTCCTTTCTGTCATAGAAAAGCAGTTTAACAGTTTCACTCTAACACAACAAGGTGTTATGCATCGTCTTTGTTTTTGTGGTGTATCTTTTGTTCTTTGGTTCTTGCTCTCTCCCCCCTCCCTTCTCTGTTTTCATACTCTGCAGAGCTGGGGGCGTGGCCGGCATTCTCCTGGCTACAGACGAGGCACACCTGTTCCCAATCACCTAATCAACCTGCGCCATTAAAAGCTCATTCCTCACGCCACTACTCCATGCAGGTGGATGAGCCAGAGTGCCTCTCTGCAACCTAGAGCTTTGTGTTTCTGATCTCCTGTTTTTTGTGTGAACTCCAGTGTCTTTTCCATGGACAACTCTCTCCGTGTTCATCGGAGATTTTTCTGCTAACCCGCTAGCTTCCTGCCATCACTGCCTGCCTTTTTGATGTTGTTGCATTCTTCATTAAACACCTTGAAAACCTTACCTGAATCAGTCTCTGCTTTGGGGTCCTTTAAATACCCGAGCGTCACCAGGTACATTTAGCATATTGTGGAATATGCAGCACATGCCATTAAACAAAGTATGGGCATAATAGCAATAACTATATATAGCTAACGGCTGGCAGTGGTCTGCTTAGTTCTAATGCCAATATCACTTGCCTACAATTACAACACACTATTGTATCATCCAAGATATTCATGCGGAGATAACAACAATGTTCCTTAGCACTTGTGAAGAGTAAGAATATGAGCGGGGGAAAATACTCAAGTGTTATGTTTAATACAAATGCTGAGATGTCACAGCAATAACACTTTTGAAACGAGGGGAATAAATACTTACTGTTTCCACATGGAAACTGATAATAAAAGGGAAAGGTTGAGAGAAAAAGTACATTTTACCCTGACACAGTGCAGGCCCAGAAAAAATGAACAGCATAATTGTGATGAATATTTGATGGGTGCTGAGTTTGCTGAGAGTTTAATCCTGGGGAAGGTTTCAACTGGATTATAAAGTAAACAACTGTGTTTGCTGAGCTGTTCCTGTTCCTAACAGGACATTCTTATCACCATCATGAGACCAGGAAGAGGATGCACACACAGACAAATACACACCCAGGTCCACTGTGCAGCTATTTGCCACTAAACCCTTAATAAAGACACGCTTACTGCCACTATCCAAACAGTAAGGCGTGTTCTCAAAAATTCACTGTGTTAATACCCAACAGATGCGTGTAAATACAGACA